GTTCCAGCCGGCGATGTAGCAGGATTTCAGCTCTGAGACCCTGAGCGAGGCATCGGGCACACAGCCCAGCTGGATGTAGTCGCTGCACTCCACGGGCTGGTCCAGCTCCAGCAGGGCGATGTCGTTCCTGGCTGTGGCAGGCACGTAGTGCTGGTGCACCAGGAGCCTCTGGATGTGTCTGACCGCGGCCTCGGGGCCCAGCTGAGTCAGATCTGTGGCCCCAATCACAACCTCCCAGGTGGAGACGGCCCTGGGGAGCAGATGGAGAGAGGGGTGACAGGGAGCAGAGCCACGGGCTGCTGCAGCCCAGCAATTCCCAGACAGGGAAGAGGCACGGGGTGCTGTGACCTGGGCACCTGCCCGTGCTCTGGGGACATCTCTGTCCCTGCTGTCTCTTACCCAGCCCTGGCGAAGCAGTGTGCGACCGTGAGGACCCACTGGGGGCTGAGGAGGACACCCGTGCACATGTGCCACGTGCCGTTCTCCCACGTGGCCTGGATGCTGACAATGCCGGGCCAGGCCCCTGACTGGGCACTGGTGCCACCCACAGCATGGGACATGTCCTCGGCAGAAGCCACGGAGCTGTGGTCAGAAGCCATGGGCTGGAGCCCACAGGTTCTTCTGTAACACAAAGCCATCACTGCCCTGCTCAGTGGCTGCTGCTGCTCAGGCTCCAGGTCCCTCGTCCCACCTTCCTGCCCGGTGCTGAGTGGCAGAAGGACCTGGGACCCCCGAGGGGTGCATCTGTCCCCCTGAACTGCTGCAGCCCCATAGACAGGTGGTGTCAGTATCTGGGTACTGGCCAGGGACTGAGGCTGGAACACTGTGGTGAGGGGAACATGTGGGTTCCCCTACAGGGAACCCCCTAAGTGAGACCACTGACCTGCAGGTGTCCCAGGTGGCCCCCACGGGCCAGGCCAGGGCCAGCAGCACGAGCAGCCACAGCAAAGCCATCGGTGCCAGCGCAGGTGGCAGAGGCAGAACCGAGGTGTCACCTGCAGTGCAGCCACCACCACAGCACCCACAGCCTTCGTGGTGCTCACAGTGCCCCCAGCCAGGGCTGCTGTCACAGAGGAGCCGGTTCTGTGTCCTGGGCATGGCAGGGAGGGGCAGCAAAGTCATAGAGACATGGAATGCTCTGAGTGGAAGGGACTTTAATGACCATCCAGTGCCATCCCTGTCATGGGCAGGAACACCTTCCACTGTCCTAGGCTGCTCCCAGCCCCAATGTCCAGCCTGGCCTTGAACACTTTGGGGATCCAGGCCATTTTTCTTGTGTCCTATCACTACATGCTCTTGCTCAAAGTATCCCTCCAGCATTTTTCTAAGACCCCTTAAGTACTGGAAGGGGCAACAAAGTCTCCCTGTTCTCTATGGCTGACCAGCCATAACTCTCTCAGCCTGTCATGCCCTTCTCACCCTGAAAGAACATTTTAAATGTTGTGATCCTTGCTGTAAAACAGCAGTGCTCTGCTAGTTCACCTACAGTCACCTTTTACATCCATTTCACAAAGGCATCTGACTTTGATTAAATACCTCAAGAAATGAAAGTTTCCATTTTTTCCCCTGTAATTTCTTGAAGTATTTTGTGGGAGGATGGCTGAGGGTAAAAAGATAACACTATGAAATTATAGGGGAAAATACAGTTGCTGCTGTCTGGATGGAAGGCGGTCTGCACGCCTGATCTCCTTCACACAACACAATCCAAGAGAATCCGTGCTGCCCATGCTATGGGATGAGCCCTGGACAGGGGGGCTCTGGGCTGGGTCATGTCCAGCCCCCCCATCCACCAGCACTCCCAAGTCCTTCTCCCAGGGCTCCTCCATCTGCTCATTCTAAGCCTGGATTGAATCCAAAGGTCGCCCCAGGCACAGCATCTGCACTTGCTCTTGTCAAACCTCATGAGGTTCCCATGTGCCACCACTTGAGCCTGTCCAGGTGCCTCAGGGGGAGACCTGCCCCACTCAGCTTGGTGTCACCTGCCAACCTGCTGAGGATGCCTTCCATCCCTTCATCCTTGTCATTAATAAAGATATTAAATTCTTCCTACACATCTGTGATCTCAGGTTCTTCCTTCCCCTTTGGGTGAGACATCACAGGGGTGTTGGCCAGAATGTGGCCAGCAGGTGGGGGGCGGATCCTGCCCCTCTGCCCTGCCCAGGTGAGGCCATACCTGAAATGTTGTGTTCAGTTCTGGGCTCCACAGCTCAGGAAAGACAAGGAGCTGCTGGAGAGGGTCAAGGAGGCCACAAAGATGATTCAGACTCTGGGACATGTCTGTGATAAGAGACTTCAGGAGCTTGGCCTGGTTAGTCTGGAGAAGGCTGAGAGGGGATTCCATCAATCCATGCAAATATCTCAAATCACAGAATCACACAGAACCACAGAATCAATTACACTGGAGAAACCCTCCTAGACCACTGAGTCCAACCTGTGCCTGGTCCCCACCTTGTCAACCAGACCACTGAGTGCTACATTCAGTCGTTCCTTGGACACCTCTGGGGATTGGGACTCACCCCTTCCATGAAGAAAATTTTCTTGACGTCCAACCTGAACCTCTTCTGGCATAGCTTGAGGCTGCTCCCTCTTGTCCTGCCCCTTGTTCCCTGGGAAGCTGAACCTCCTCTGGCTCTACTCTCCTGTCAGGGAGTTCTGGAGTGTGAGAAGGTCCCCCTGAGCCTCCTTTTCTCCAGGCTAAGCCTCTCCAGCCCCCTCAGCTGCTCCTCATAGGATTCACCCTCCAGACCCTTCCCTGGACACAATCTAGCCCCTCAATGTCCTTCTTGAACTGAGGGACTGAGGACTAGTGGCCTCACCAATGCCAGGTTCAGGGGGACAATTACTTCTTCCCCCCCAGCTCATTTTTAGGCACATAGGAACAGGCTGCTCCTGCATCCTACAGGTCTCCTTCTTAATGTATGCCCAGCCTTTCTGGAACCTTTTGTTTTTAAGGGCTGCTTTCCAAGGGACTTTCCAAATCAGTGTCCCAAACTGGCTGAAATTCACCCTCTGACAGTCCAGTGTAGAGGTTTTGCTGACACACCTTGTTACTTCAGCAAGGATTGAAAACTCTTTCATCTCATGGTCACTGTGCCCAAGATGACTCCGACCACCACATCTCCCAGCAGCCCTTCTCAGTCTGCAAACAGCAGGTCCGGCGGGGCCCCACCCTTGATCAGCTCCTCACCTACTGAGTCAGAAGTTCTCTGCCACACATTCCAGCAACCCCCCATGTCTCCTCTCCATCATGTTGCTCCAGCTGACATCCAGAAGGTTAGACTCCCACAAGAACAAGGGCTGGCAACCACAAAACCAGCCAGCACTTCACAGAATAATTTATCTGCCTCTTCATCCTGGTTGGGTGGTAGAACAGACTCCCACCAGGATATCTGCCTTGCCAGCCTTCCCCTTGATTCTCACCCATGACCAGTCGACCTTATCGCCACTGCCACTAAGCTCAGTGACAGTCAAAACACTCCCAGAGTCATCACACCACCTCTCCTTCCCCGCCTGTCCCTTCTGAAGAGCTTGGAGCCATCCATTGCAGCATTCCAGTCATGGAGTCATCCTACATCAGAGCTTTGCTGCTGCACAATGGCCTCTGGCTCCTCCTGTGCTGCCCACACTGCTGCACTGGTGCAGATGCACTTCAGCTAGGCTATCAATTTCTCCCCAACACTGGCCTGCTACCCTCAGCTTCATCTCTAGTGAGCATGGTCTCATCCCTTTTTCCCTTCAAACCTAGTTTAAAGCCCTCTCTATCAGCCCAACCAATTCACAGGTTGGAACCCTTTTGCCTCTTCTAGGGAGATGAACCCCATCTGTCTCCAGCCTGGTGCCGTACAACCCCCATCATGTTCAAAAAATCCAAAATTCCACCAATGGCACCAGTCTTCAAGCCACTTTTTGATCCCATGGGTTTTCCTGTTCATTTTGGCATTCATCCCTACTACCAAAGGAATCAAGACTACCACCTCTTGTACCTTCAATCAGGCTTGTCCCTTCTTCAGTGCCTTTTAAGTCCTTTTTTGTTATCCTGGTACTTTTCTCATCAACCTCATCCCTGCCGACCAAGAGGATGAGCAGTGGGCAGCAGTCAGTGGGCTGAATTAGTCCAGGGAGTCTCTCAGCAATGTCCCTTGCCTGGGCCTCAGGGAGGGAGCAGAGTGCCCGGTGGGATGGGTCTGGTTGGCAGACAGTTCTCTCAGTTCCCCCCAGAAGTGAGTCACCGACTACAATTACCCTTCTCTCTAAATAACTGGAGCTGTGATCTGTCTGATTAACTGCACTAATCTGGGAGACACACCAGGAACACCTTCTTCTCCACTCTCATCTACCTGACCCTCAAAATCCAGGACCTCCTCTCTGTTCTGTAAGGGCACCTGGAAAGGCAAGGGAAGCCAGGAGGGAATTCCCTCCCCAAGTAGGGACGTGTTTCCGTTCCCCAGCTTTTAGGTCTCCTCCTGCCTGATGGCAACAGGGTAAGGGCTACTCTGACTCTTGCTGAGCTTTCGTGCACTGCATTTCTCTCCTGGATGGAAGGGTGCAACTCCACCAGTCTATTTCTCCTTCGCACTCCCTGATAATCCTCAGCCTCTCCACCTCCTCTTTAAGATCCTCCATCTGGTCACATCACATGCAGTGTTGTTTCCACTGTCCTCCAGTAGCAACAGTAGGCTCAGACACTCCCTGCAGTGGAGACCTGGACAGCTGCATGCTCCGTGGCAGCTCTTTCTGGGTCTCCACGCTCCTGCCAGCAATGGCTTTTGCCAGTGTGTGAACCACTGCTGGCTCTAATCAAGTTGGACGAGTGAAAAAAACAATCCCCACCTGAGGTGAGCTCAAGAGTCGGGAGGGTGGCAGTGCCATCCTACACACCTGCTGCTTGTCCACGTCCCATCTGCCTGCCCAGTCAGCACGCTCTGGGTCCTTGCACTGCCTGGAGCCATTTCGATGTCCCATGCTGCTCCTGGCAATGCCCCCCTCTGTGCCTGACTGCTGCCAGAGCTCCTGAGTCCATGTGGAGCTTTGGACTGCTGCTCACGTGTCCACACAAATCTCTCACCTCAGGGGACTGCACTAATCCATACAAATACCTGAGGGGGGATCCCACCAACGCCCACAAATCTGCCACCAGTCCCCATGACCCCCCCAAGGTATGAGGATGGTGCCAGACCCAGCCCAGTGGTGCCCAGCAAGGGGACAGGGAGTCAGGCCCTGAGCTCCAACACTCCCAGCTCAGCATGAGGCAGAATTTCCCTCCATCATGGAAGGACCAAGCCCTGCGACAGCTGCCTGGGGAGGGTGCAGGGTCTGCCTACATGGAGACATCCCAATCCACCTGGATGAGTACCACCTGCTCCAGGTGACCCTGCCTGGGCAAGGGTTGGGCTGGATCATCACCAGAGGGCCCTTCCCACTCATACTGTTGTGGGATTCTGTGTGTGATAAATGTGTGTGTGTGACACCTGTGTGTGACACCCGTGTGTGTGACACCTGTGTGGCCTGTGTGTCATCCGTGGCAACTGTGTCTGTGTCCACCTGTGCCCACCCACCACCCAGGCCCCTCAGAGATGTGAGCTCCCCCTCAACCCTCCCCAGCCTCAGGGACCCCTGCAGGTGTCACCCCTGTCCAAAGGGGCACAGCAGGGGCTGCTGAGGGGGTGTGGGGGGCCATGGGTACATGGAGGGTGGGAACAGAAACTTGGGGGCAGGGCCGGGTGGATGGGGTCCCCAGGCCCTCAGACCAATGCCCCTCAGGCCCTGGGATCACTGTGGGGCGTGGGCACTCACCCTGCTGTCCCCCCAAGGATGGGGGTTATGGGAGGGTCTCAGGGTACTCCTGTGCCCTGAGCCCTCCATGCCTCTGTCCCCCCATGCCCCATTGCATGTCCCTGTGCCACATGCCCAAGTCGCCCCCCATTTCTGTCCCCGCCATGTTCCCATCGCCCACAGCATCCCACAGAGCAGAACAGACAACGAGTGGTGTCAGCACATGTTGGGGACACTATCAGGGAGAAACACAGGGGACACAAGTGGCACTTGGGCACTGGGGGAGGACAATAAATAACCTTCCCCCCAGGTTCTGCTGGGGTTGAGGAGGAGCTGCAGGAATGGTGACAAGGTCATGGTGACAACTCCCAGTGTCCTTAGGGTGTTCCTTTGGCCCCCGCCCAGGCGTCCCTCGCTGCCTACAGGCAGGATCTGGCAGGATCTGGTAGGATTCAGCAGGATACGGTGGTGGCACTTCCCCCATCACGGGACACGGCTGAGACACAGTCACAGGTCACGCACAAGGTCCCCGTGGCTGCCCCAGGCACGCTCAGAGACACCCCAAGCGTCACCCTCAGACCCACCCCCAGCACCCCAAGGACAACTTGGGAACCCCAGGGACCCCCCAGCAGCACCCTGGGATGGGCTGGGGACTACTTGGGGTGGAGACTCCCAGGCATGGGGAACAACTGCCCCAGGTGGGCTGGGGGCCCCTGGGTGGGTTTTCTTGGGGTGGAGATCCCCAGGCCCAGTTTGTGACCCCGTGGGGTGCCAGGGGCTGTTTTGGGGCACCAGGGAGGGCGATCACAGGTTGTTGAGTGTGAAGAAGTTGAGGGAGCGGTGGGGGGGACTGTTTGAGGGTGCCGAGAAGGTACCGAGGATTGTTTGGGAGTGCCTGGGTGTGCCCGTCATCCATGGCAGGGAGCAAAGAGGCCACGGGCACAGGGGACAGCTTGGGGGTGCCGCGGGGGTTTGCACATACTGGGAGTATCGGGAGAACTGTTTGGGGGAGCTTAGAGGGAGATCTGGAGGGATTTGGGGGAGCGTCGGGAGGGCTTGGGGGGTCCTGGGAGGCTCTATCGCAGCTCATCGGGTGCGAAGAGCCCCCGGGCGCGGCGCAGCACAGAGTCCCGGGCCGGGTCGTAGGGGTGGTCCTTGGAGGGGATCTCGAGCACCGCGGGGAGCGCCCGGGCATGGGCTGCGACCGCCGGCCGGATCTGCTCCGCCAGGGCCTGCGAGATCAGGATCATGCCCACGTCCTCCCGCGCCAGGAAACCCCTGCGGGCAGGGAAACAAGGACAGTCAGGGGACACACAGGGCCATGGGCGCCCCAGCGAGGTGGGACACGCTCCTCGGGACCCCTTGGAGCCCCTGATCCCCCAAACACTCCTGGCACCCTGACCCCAGACTTCTGCAAGCCCTCTCCCTCGCCTCCAGGAACTGTGACAGCCCAGACTCCAATACCTGCCTGGTTCCTCCTCAGAGACCCCGCTCGGGACCCACAAGACCACCACAGGGACCCCTCAGACACCCCCCAAACCTTGCTGACCCCCTGGCCCTTCTCAGACACCCCCAGACCACTCCTCAGACTGCCCCGTGCCCCCCCAGGCCGCCTTGCCCCACACACCGGAACGTCTCCTCGATCTCGGCCAGGCTCGTTTCCTTCTCCACCACCAGGAAGTTGGGCCGCCGGTGCTTGTCCAGCTCCCCGATGCCGCCGAGCAGAAACCCGGTCACCGTGTCCTCGTCGCCCATCACCGCGATCAGCTTCCCGCGGCCCGCCATGCCTGGGGCCCGCTGGGTACGGAATCCGCCGGGATCGGGACGCTGGGAAAGTCGCTGCCGGGACCCGGCGGGAGCGGGATGCGCCGCCGGGAGGCGGCTGCCGGATCAGGAGCGCCCGGGACTCAGCGGCTCCCAGCGCCGCTTCCGGCTCCGAGCGCCGCTTCCGGCTCCCAGCGCCGCTTCCGGCTGCCAGCGCCGCTTCCGGCTCCCAGCGCCGCTTCCGGCTCCGAGCGCCGCTTCCGGCTCCCAGCGCCGCTTCCGGCTCCCAGCGCCGCGCTCCCGAACCGCCCCGCCCGCCGCTGCCCCGGCAACGCAGCCGAGGCCCCGCCCACCGCCGCGCGCTGGCCCCGCCCCGCCCGCCCCCGCGGCAATGCGCACGCGCAGAGCGCCGTGTCCTTGAGGGGTCGCGGGGTGCTGCTCTGCACTGCGCCCCCTACCGGAGGGCCCCCGGGCTGCCGCTGCTCTGCCATGGACTCCCCCCAGCACCCCCTCAGGACTCGCCCATTCTGCTCCAGACCCTCCCAGGCCGCACCCAGGGTCTTGTTCCAGACCCCACCATCTCACAGCAGGACCTCATAATCCCATCCTGCAGCCCCCAGAATCGTCCCAAAACACCCCCAGGAACAGGATGTCCTGCTCCGGACCCCCCTCCCGGGCCCATTATGCTGCCTGGACTCCCAGGACTATCCCCAAACCCTTCTGTGCTGTTCTGGACACCTCGAAATTCTGATGTCCTGCTCAGGACACCCCTAGATCTGGTGTCCTTCCCTAAAGTCCCCCAGGACCCTGGTGAGAGGAATGACAGATTTGTCTTTACAAACAAATTGTAGGTCTGCTGATAGATAAAACCAGACCTGAGAGACAGAAAAAACAATGGGAAGGATTCCACTGATTGATGAATGGAAAATGATATTTGTCTTTACAATCTCTAGGTTTGCTGATAAATTAAACTGGATATTGAAAGATGAAGCAGTGAGGAAAACCATAAATTCCATACTAATTGAAAACTAAAAGGGAGGGTTATACATTAGAGGGGAATCTTAGTTATCAGGTGTTCTGGGAAGTCTGTGCCTCTCAAGTACCTCAGTGCGTGGGGAAAGAGAGAGGGAAATGCGGCCGGGAAATTGGGATAAAAAGGAGGCTGCGTCCTCCAAAACTCTGAGAGACCCCAGGGGAGTGCCCCATGGCCTCTCCCTTTATTCGAGTAAAGTAAAAGGACTCCTCTGTCTCCTTTTTGTACATAAACCTCTGCTGTTTGTGGATAAACTTTCCCGACCCTGGCAGGCTCCCAGCCCCACCCCCGGCGTGTCCTCCGCCATCACTCAGACACTCTTCCTCTCCCAGTGCTTTATTGGCAGCCCCGGCTCGCCCGGGCTGCGCGGGGGTCTCAGGCAGCGGTGACACGGAAGGGGCTCCCCGGGACGTCGCGGTCGCCCCAGCGCAGCAGCAGCACGTACTCGCCGCGCTCCCGCACGCTGTAGGTCACCGTGTACACGCGGTTCCCCTCGTGCTTCACGTGCACCTCCTCGCACGGGGCCTTGGGGCCGTGCACCCCCACCAGCAGCATGTTTGTGCCTGGGGGGACGACAGAGGCACGCTGAACCCTGAGCCTCAGACCGCACGCTCGCCCCGAACTTCCTCCCCTGCATCCCAGACCCTCCACCAGACTCCCCAACTTACCCACCCCATCCCCTCCCAGGCCCCCCCTTTAACCTACCCCGTCCTTTCCCAAGAGCCCCAGAATTCCCTGAACACCCCACGCACCCACCACCTCTCCTCCAAGCCCTCGCAGGACTCCCCTTGGAGCCCCCATCTGCCCTTCCAACCCCGTGCCCCGTCCCAGCCACCCCAACCTCCCAGGACCCCCCGTGTCACTCACCAGCCTTGCTGCAGTCCACAGTGAAGTGGTTCTTGTGGCCCAGGCGGGCGGCTGCCAGCCCTGGCCCCCGGGCCACCACCTGCCCAGCGTCCGACGGGGCCTTGGTGACCCCCCCAAAGGCGGGGGGGCCCCGCGACCCCGCCCTCACCACTGGCTCCACCATCACTGTCGAGGTCTCATGCAGACTGTGCCCACCCGAGAGCCGTGGGCCTGGGGAGCACAGGGGGGACAGGGTCAGGCCCCACCATGGGGACATCCCCATCCCACCATGCTGGGGGGACATAAGGACATCTTTTGGGGACAACCACTCCTCCCCCTGGGACCCCCATCATGTAATCCTGAGGCTCCTACACCACGTCACCCCCAGGACCCCTTGTCACCACCCTAGGAACCCCCCCACCCTGGGGATCCTCTAGGGTGGCCCTCCTGCAACCCTCCATCATGCCCATCATCACCCCACCCTGGGGACCCCCATATTCTCCTCTCCCAATCTCCCTTACTGACACACCCCATCCTCGTGTCTACACCCACCCCATCTGTACAGTGACCCTGGCCTTGGAGGGGCTGCCCATGATGTGGTGGGGGTCCCGGTATCCCCACGTCCCCCTCAGCTCCTGTGTCCCTGCTGGTTGCCATGTTCCTTTCTGTCCCCATGTCCCTTTCCATCCCCATGTCCCCCCCCGTTCATACCAGTGACCTTGGCCTTGAAAGGGCTCCCCACAATGTGGTGGGGGCCCCCATACTTGATGGAGATGAGGTAGTTGCCAGGGGCCATCGGGGTGTAGGTGACGCGGTGACCCTCGGGGACCTCAGTACAGTCCAGCTCCACTTTGGAGGGGCCATCAATGGTGACAGCCAGTGCTCCTGCTCCTGCATTGGCTGTCTGTACCAGGAACTCTGAGGGCACCCCTGGGACACGGACATGGGGATGGCATCATGAGGGGGACCCCAGGCCACCGTGGTGGTCACCACACGTGGCCACGTTCCCATCATGGCAACTCCCATGGCCACAACCCCACTGCCACCACCATGGCCACATCTCCATAATGGCTCTGTCCCCACCACCATTTCATGGCCATGTCTCCACTGCCACCATCACAGCCGTGTCTGTGTCTCCACCCCCCTCCCGCAGCTGTGTCCCTGTCCCTGTCTCCACAGCAGTGTCACCTGTGCGGCCACCCTCGAGGCCCGGCCCGAAGGCAGTGACGAGCCCCGGGTCCCCGGCCTGGCTCTGCTCGCCCACGCGGATGTTGAAGGGGCTCCCGGGCACGTGGCGTCCATTGAAGCGCAGGTCGATGGAGTGGACTCCGTTCTCACGTGGCAGGAACCCCAGTGCATACCGGTCTGGGGGACACAGACATGTCACCGTGTCCTTGCGTCCCCATATCCCTGTGTTCCCATGTCCCCACACCTCTGTTGCTGCGCAGCAGGAACCCCAGTGCATACCAGGGGGACACAGATGTGTCCCCGTATCCCTGTGTGCCAATGTCATCTGTCCCCCCACACCATGCAAGAACCCCAGTGTGTGCTAGTCTGGGGGATGCCATCATGTCACCGTGTCCTGTGTCCCCATGTCCCTGTGTTCTCCATGCCCCCACATCACATGTCCCTGTACCCTGTGCCCACAACCCCATATCCGCAGACCCAGTGTCCCCGCAGTGTCCCTGCAGTGTCCCTGCAGTGTCCCCGCGGTGTCCCCACATGTCCCCATGTCCCCTCACCGCTGTCCAGCTCGGACACGTAGCACTCCTCCACCACCCCTGCAGGTGTGTGCACTTTGGCGTCGATGACACCCCGCGCCCCATTCAGCTGCACTGCAAAGGACGCTGGCTGGTTCACTGCCACTGTCTCCTGTGGGGACACCACGGTGGCATCAGGGACACGGGGGGCAGGGGGACATCATGAATGATGCCAGCTGGTTCACACCAGAGAACGGCGGGACGTGAGGGGGGTGGAGGACACGGCGTGGGGAGAGTGGGGCAGGAGGAACACCATGGGATCCAAGAGTGACACAGGGGTGCAAGGTGGTCCAGGACTGATGCAAGGGACACGGGGGTGGCACCAGGGAGGGTGCCAGTAGTGACATGCCGGAGAGAGAGGTGGCTCCAAGGAATCCCAAGGATGACAAAGGAATGACACAGTGGTCCCAAAGGTGACACAGGGGTGCAGTGTGACACAACGTGGCCCCAAGAATGACATGAGGGAGGGAAAGGTGGCCCCAAGGGTGCCACAGGAGACCCAAAGGTGGCACACGGTGGGCATCCCAGGAGTGCAGTAGGGGCTCAGAGTGGCCCAGGAGTGACCTGGGGACCCAGGGGAAATCTGTGAGCCCAGGGGTGCCCCCGGGTTTCACAGGGGGTGTCCCCAGTACCTGCAGGCTGGTGACAGTGAGGCGGCGGGCGTCATCAGAGTGGGAGGCAACAGGGACAATAAAGGGGCTGTCAGGGATGTGCTCCTCATTGAACTTGATGGACACCTCGTAGTCACCTGGGGGACATGGGACAGTCAAGCAGGGAGCCCCCACATTGGGACACCTTCCCTTGGGAGCACTCTCACGTGGGGACACCCTTAATTGGGAATACCTTTGCATGTGGGCCCTCCTCACATGAGGGTCTTGTGGCCCCAGCCCCAGGCTGAGCACCCTGGGGGACATTAGAGGTGGTTGGGGGGGGTTGAGGGTGTTGGGGTACAGCCCCCCCTCACCTGGCTCTTGCACCAGGTAGGAGACGCCACAGGAGCCATCCTTGCGGTCCTCAAAGGAGATCTCGGCCTTGCTGGGCCCCTCGACAGCAATGGAGAGTCCCCCCGCGCCCGCCTCACGCGTCCAGATGCTGAACTCAGCTGGGGGGGGGGGTCACCGGGGTCACCCTGGCCCTCAGTGGCACCCCAGGATGGTGACACCCAGCACAGACCAACACTTCCCCACGGCACCCAAACCCCCACAGCACCCACATCCCACCCATGGCACCCAAACCCCCACAGCACCCACATCCCACCCATGGCACACAGACCCCCCACAGCACCCACATCCCACCCATGGCACACAGACCCCCCACAGCACCCACATCCCACCCATGGCACACCCGTAACACCCCAGACGCCCACACACATCCCCCCAAGAGCACCCATCCCTCATTGCTCCCACATCCCTATCACACCCCCATATCCCCCCAGAGCTCCCAGGCCCCCATCATCCCCCACACC